GAGAAACATCTGAGGCAGGCTTTTAATGGCATTGTTACTGAGATCCAACACTTGGAGGTTTAGCAGCCCCTCAAATTGTCTTGGTGTCAGTGCTCTCAGTCTATTTCCTCCCAGGTGTAGATGCGTAAGACCTCTCACGCTCTGCCAGTTGGTATTCAGTGACAAATTGAAGACATTTTTGGTGAGATCGAGAACCCTCAATTCATGGAAAGTTTCATTTGGGAGAGCCTGAATCTTATTACGTGTAGCATAAAAATGCTTGGTACCATTAGGCAGAGGAGGGAACTCAAGGAGATTTGTGTTCCAACATGTTACAATGTCAACATCAACACACGAGCAGGATATCGGACAGGCATCAACTGCTGCGATGAGATCCAGAATTATCAACAAAGGCCAAAACATTCTTAAAGATGTAATCTGCAAAGAAACCCACAAGTTACTTTTGTTACACAATGTGAAACTAAGCATTTGTACATTTAGATCTGAAATGCAGGTATGCGGCTGGATGAGCATTTAGATCTATTCAAGCTTAGATGAAACCAAGGCGTGACATCAATGCTAGCCAACTTGACAAATCGTCAGCTTAGAATTATAAGGTTCTATCTGACATTTTTGTCAAAATTGAGTTATTGACATATTACTAAATGACAATTTATTTACATTATGGGATGTTTTTTTATAAGTTGTTTACATTTTAAGACTTTTTATTTAAAAACAAAACAAAAACAAATGTTACACACATACTGTTTGCCATGGAATGCAAAAACTTTGAAGCTCAATATGTCAAAATCATTCAGAATGCAGATAGAACCTTATAATTCCAAGGTGACAAAATGTGTAACGCAATCAGTGCCAATCATTTCTTCAGTGTGCTGAATTTTAATTTAATCATGACATTAGTGCTTGTTCTGGATAAGTGGATTTTTTGAAGGAGAATTTTATTGTCTTACTGAAAAAGTCATATAAAACATGGAGACACAAAAATGAATGTGAGAATTATTGACTCATTGAGATATCTAAACAAATTATTACAAATGCTCGCACAAGAACAATATACAGTGGTGAAAGCTAAGTGGGTTTTTAATTGAGCCAGTTAATGATTCAATGTCGTATTTATAAATTGATTCACTTGTTTCATTGCTGAATGAATCAGCTTTCTAAACGAGTCAATTGAATGACTCTCAGGCCATCATATACTGGCAAATTTCTTTCAAATTTAAAAGTTCCATGCATTTTTCCAACATGTCTTAATTTTGTATGAATACGTATTTTAAATACAAAGCTTTTAAAGTTATTTGTGCAGTTGTTTGCCTCTATTTTCTGCACAATGGAGAGACTTGTAGATTTTTATTTGCTAACAACCTTACAATGCCTTTGTATATGACTTTGTAACAAATACAACTCAGTTTCCAAACATCAAAAATGAGAATTTGAAAGTGCTTGAGAGGCTTTTTTAACTTTGAAAAACCGGTAGTCACAGTGGCTGATGAGTCAAAAGATAATGTCAAGCCCCGTGTGCAATATTTTAATAAAACCGACGGAAAATCTTTGTCACCATTATTGTAAATTATATTTAGAGATTAGACATTAAACCTTGAATGGTAATGCTCATTTAAACATCACAAATTTGCTAGTTATGTTTATATGCAAACAATGTATGTTTTAGCTGCTTTTATATTTTGATATAATTACATAATTATAAAATTAATACATAAATGAGCTTACCTGCACGAACAGCCAGCTTGCAAACTACAATGGTTTTGAAAGTAATACGTGCATTATTTCAGCAGCATAGCATAATAATGACCTGTCAGCAGAACAACAGAGCTTCAAAGACTCTGTTTATGATGTCACATGCGATACATCCTCAACCACAAAGTAAAACCCCACCACAGCAAGACAGAACTCAGCAAACAGCTGAGACTTATTGCAGTGTGTAGCCAAAACATTAAATTCACATCCAAGAACAAAAAAAAAAAAATGACCAAACCCCCAGGCAGAGGTGGAAAGAGTATTAAAATCTACGCAAATAAAAGTACTGTTACTTCCAAAACATTTTACTTAAGTAAAAGTAAAGTTACATGTCTTTCAATCTACTCAAGTAAAAGTACAAATGAATGTACTCATGAGTAAAGATTAACTTTTTCTCAAAAGAGACAAGAGGATATAAACCTCCAATTAGTTGTTTTTATTTGAATAAACAACTTTAAAAATTAAAGACCAATAACAAAAAATATTTACATTAACATTTAGTCATTTAGCAGACGCTTTTATCCAAAGCGACTTACAAATGAGGACAAGGAAGCAATTTACACAACTATAAGAGCAACAATGAATAAGTGCTGTAGACAAGTTTCAGGTATGTAAAGTGTATAAGAACCAAAACATAAGTTTTTTTTTTTTTTTTTTTTTTTTTTTTGTAGTACAGTTAGTGGTAGAGCCAGAGAGGCAATTGCAGATTAGGAAGGGAAGTGGAGACTAAATAGTTGAGTTTTTAGTCTTTTCTTGAAGACAGCGAGTGACTCTGCCATTCTGATGCAGTTAGGGAGTTCATTCCACCAAGTGGGCAGATTGAACGCGAGAGTTCAGGAAAGTGATTTCTTCCCTCTTTGGGATGGAACCACGAGGCGACGTTCATTCACAGAATGCAAGTTTCTGGAGGGCACATAAATCTGCAGAAGTGAGAGAAGATAAGAAGGACAACCCTCGGATGGAAGGCCTTGATTTGTTTGCTGGTGTCTTCTGCATACACTGCTATAGACACTGCTATAGACACTGCTTTATCTGTCGAGTGACATTATTTACATTTAAAATAATTTTTTATTTACAACATTTAATTGAAACTTTTAATTTCTGTTTGCTCTTTTGTAGCTTAGCAATAAAACAAACTAAAAAGGTAACATCAAATTAGAAAGTTACGATATGTGTTAAATACATTCACCCCAACCCTCCCAATCATACTCACTGTCCTCTCAGATGGGATGCTGGGCCAAATCAAAGGTTAAAATGGGCCAACTTTGGCCCGCGAGCCCTACTTTGGACTTCTCTGCAGACGTTATGGTATGTATGCGATAGTGTTTTCTTTGCTCGCCAAAGCAGATGTTTAAACAGAATTTGAAAATAAACATTAAATTTAGGGTCTGGTGAAGGTGTGGTGAAGTCCTGTTTACATGCAGATGTTATCCCTTTTGCTAGTTTCTTTTTACACATCCACTCCAAAACAAACTCTTCTTTATTCAGTCTGACTAAAAAGAAAAATAATGTAATCCATTGTTGTGGCCAAAAGATGGCGCAGTCGCTCAATCAGAAAACTAATGTCAATTTGTCAGGAATCTATAGTGAACAACATTGATACAAGAACAACATTGATTTGTACTGAAAAATACTGATATTATGAGTTTCCAGTGACCTGAAATAATCTACATTCAGTCAAATGACTGAAACAGAAGTCCCTCTTCTGTGACTAAAGACCCTACTTTATCATTTACTCAACTTTATCTTAGTTTTTCTGTGTCAGTAAACACTCCATGTTTATAAGAAAACAGTGCAATCCGCATTTTTTTTTACAAACACTCCATTACAAGGACTCAATATTAATAATAATAATAATAATAATAATATTTTTTAAAAACTGCTAAACTAACTTAAACATGTCATCCATTGCAGATTTCTGGTGATTTAATGTGCTTCATTTATTCTAATTTGTAAGTCGCTTTGGATAAAATATTCTCCTGAATGAATAAATATAGGCGTAACAGTGGTGCAGTGGGTAGCACGATCCCCTCACATCAAGAAGGTCGCTGGTTCGAGCCCTTTAATAGTTCTTTTTATATCCTCATAACTAGTTTTTCCACTTTCTTTTTATAATAGTCATGTTGTTTTGTTTCATTCTTTTGTTTTCTTTTGGGCTTAGTCCCTTTATTAATCATGGGATTCCATCGAGGAATGAACCACCAACATATCCAGAACATGTTTTTACACACTGGATGCCTTTCCAGCTGCAGCCCATCACTGGGAAACATCCATACACACTCATTCACACACTACCCAATTCACCTGTACTGCATGTCTTTGCACTTGTGGGGGAAAAGCACCCACCCAGAGAAAACCTACGCGAACACGGGTAGAACATACAAACTCCACACAGAAATGCCAACTGACCCAGCCGAGGCTCAAATCAGTGACCTTCAGGTTGTGAGGCAACAGTGCTACCCACTGCGCCACCACACCGCCCTTGTTTAGTTTTATATTCACAATATAGTAATGCCAGTCAAACATTTAATGTTTGTTCATGTGTTACAATGACTTCAAAACTTTTTTGCTATAAAGTTGACTTTAAAACTAAAATTTAAGGCAACAAACTTCAGGACATTTTTGAGAACGTAAATCTAGTCAAGTGCAGTTATTGGGTTGAAAGTTGAGTCAACTCAAAAATGTCCAGATGTTTGTTAACTTAAAATTATACGTTGAGACAACTTTTTACTGTAGCTGAACATGTATTAGGCCTATGTAGTTATGTATTTTAATCCATTTTAATTTAATTAATTTCATTTAACAATGACTTTAATGAATTTAACAATAATTATTTTCTTTATCAACACAACGCAATGTTTAATGCAAATCATTATGCTGACAACAATGCATAAATATTATTTTTTCTCTTTGTTGTTTTAATAACAATAATCTCAAATATATGATTAGAAATGATCGAAAAGATAACATTACTTAAAATGTGCATTGTAACAGATTACATAACTGGCTACATGTATCATCATGCTGTTTGTAATCCGAAACTAACGACCATTTTTTCAGTAACCGCACCAGCACTTTTCAGAAGCACTCAATTTCTCCCGGATTGAGCTGCACTGCCGTACAGTGTCCAGCAGGAGGAGTGGTCCGCTTTTATTATGGCCAGACTTGTTTGTCAGTCGACGAGTCTGTTACTTGAATGAATGAACAGTGTCTTTAGGACCATGGGGGAAGGGTGTGCATAAGTGTGTGTGACTGTGTATGTGTGTGTGAGCGTCCGCCGCAGCCCTGCCCAGCCTATTCTTTCTCCTGACGTCCTTCCTTGATGCCAGTGTCACACGCTGCTGGGGATGAACATTTTACAGCCACTGTACAGTTTTTATAAGCTAAGCTATACCGTCTGGGAGCATTGACAGACGGACTGCCTCTGCGAAAAGGATATTGCCCACCGGTGCCTGTCGGGACGGGAGTGCACTCGACATACGCTTAACAGTTTGCATTTCGTACTGTATCCGCCGATGTTTATTTATTAATATATTGTTTTCCTGGAAATGTGCACAGATGAGTCTTTGAAGGGGACACCGCGTCCGTGGGAGTGGTTTATTTTCTTCTGGACAACCCAGACTCTTTGAAAAAATGGGTCTGTTTTCATCTGTTTGATGCTGCGGTAGCTCTGTTTTTCCTATTCTGTTCTGCTTTTGTTTTCTTTCGTTGTGTCTCGTGATCTACAGTCGACTCAACATACAAAAAACTCGCTGGTATGGGACATTTTTGTTTAGCTCAGGACAAAATGATCTATTGTTCCGGCTAGCCGAACCACCACAGACATGAGCATCATAGTATAGCCTTTTTATCTTTGTTCTCATCCCATCAGTATTGTGCATAGCATCCAGCAGACTTGGGCGAAAATGAGGATTGTTTAAGAGGGAAAACACTATAGTGGTGGTCGGAGAGGGCAGCGATAGCCTCTCGATACTGGCTCGGCTGCGGACCGGGTCTGATTCAATTAGCAACTGTACGCGGAGCCCTGCAAATAAAGGCAGCGTTGCTGAAAGCTGAAGCTCAGGGACGATGTCTTCTCGCGCAGCGCTGCAGCCGGGGAACGACAGGAATGCAGACCACGTAAGTGTAAAGCTTTCTTACGTCATTTAGTTCCACTTGACAAACGAACCATTAGAACGTTTGTCGTCAAAAGTGGAGAAGGGAAGTGATGAGGCTCGCTTTTCCAAACATCAGAACAGAAAGGAGAATTCGACTTCTCTTTTACGTCATCAATTAATATTTACGACATCCTGGCAATTAATGTTGTTGTTTTTTTTTTGTATTAATGTTGAAATGCAAGAGTGTGTGTTTGAGTTTTTCGTGTTGTAGTTCAGTTTGTTGTTCATACACACTTAAAGGTATATATTTGTTTCCTTGTTTAAACTAGTTACCTTTTTAAAATGAGCTAAAACAACACAATTCTTGAGATTTCATAGGGACAACTTAATTGTTTATGTTCAATCCACATAAATTTGTTTAAAGTGTTAAGTTCACTTAATTTGTGTTGAGACAACATGAATGAATTGTGTGGAACCCTGCCTTCTTTTTACAGTGCAGGTTAAAATATATTTCCGGAAAAACAAAGCAGACATGTCGGCTACATTGTATTTATGCTAAACAATAGCTGCTAAAGTTAATGTACAATTTCTCACTGAAAAACACAAAACCCTCATAATTATATGTGGGGGAATATGTATAATGTATGCACCAATTAACTAAACAAAACGAAAATTTGTTCCCTCCTTACGAATATAACCATGGTTGTACTACAAATCAAACAAAAATTGTAGTCAACCCACTGTAACCACAAATTAACCATGTTTTGTTATACTAATCTTAGTTTAACATTAATTTAGCTAGTTTTATAATTATTAAACCGGGTTTTTTGTATTATAGGCCTAAAACTTCTTCATTTTCTTGTTCAGAATGAAGTGTATTCGATGAATTATGACATCATCTTTCCAACCATATTTTCATCTTATCCTTATGTTGTAAAATTATTATTAAAAGTAGCCATACATGGTTTTATAATAGTAACAGTGTAACAATTTTTTGTTATTATTCTTATTAGTGCAAAAATAACGGTGTGGCTATGGTAACTTCTAAAACTTGCATTTTTGAGTTTTGATTTATTTTTTTTTTTTTGTAGGCCTAGTAAACCATCATTAATGTTGGCAATAATATGCTCTCAGTCTCAATATAATCATTTTACTAAATCATGGCCATGTTGTAATAATTTGTTCTCTGTTAAATCAAAATGAGGGAGCAAATTAGTTTGACATGGGTGCGATCTTCTTTAATGAGTAAACAGATTAACTTTTAGTAAAGATTTATTATAGTTCTTGGCCACAATTTTATTCAAATGGGTGAATGAAACAGTAAATAATAGAGTTTACCAAATCAAATATGTTTCTTCAATAAACATGCAGTTTTTTTTTTTTTTTGCAATTTTTGCAATTTTTGATAATCATTCTGTTTGTAGCATTTCTGTTTTTTGACAGTTAACATATTTTTATCAGCCCATTGATCAATAAATCGATTCACTCAAAAAGTATAAATTCACTTCGGCTTTTGGTTAATTACGAACTGGACATGTCTGAAAGAGTTCTTGATTTTCAAAAACCTAATATAATAATAAGTGTATAAGTTGTACCGACTTTGTGTGAATCAGTTCAATCAATTCACCAAAGAGAGAGAGTTTAAAGAATAACTGTTAATTGGGGATATTATATGCAGTCATGATAGAATTTATGTCAATGGCAATGATAAGCTTTGGACCTTTTTACCCTATATTGATCTAAGAGCCAATCACACAGCAGGAACGTGCATCAATGAGAATCTAAGGTGTGTTGATATTACAGATGTACCAAATGTTTGGCCACCGAAAATTTATCAGCAAAAAGTATGTTATGCCATTTAAGGGACCCTCTAATTTTGTAGCTTATATACCGTTAAATACCGAAATATATACCGTTATCATTCAATATGGAAAATAATTATAGAGATTGCATTTTTGCTTTATCGCCCAGCCCTAACATTAATTACAATTCATAATCAGTGATTAGTCAAAAGTTTTCATCTCAGTAAAGGTGTAGTTGTTAATAAATTAATAGACTAAAGAGTTAAATTTTTACTAAAACCTGAATTTTTTATAAACAGTATTTTATTCCTACTTGCTCTTTCAGAAATGGCATACGGTGATTATGTATCTAGAGCTATCACTAATGTTTGTTTAGATCTTGCAGAAATAGATGCTTTTGCAGACAATGTATAGCATTTGATTTGTAGATGTTTTATTTACAGACATTTGTGGTTGAAGTTATGTGTGTCCTGATGCAAAATGTTCTTGGCAAACCTCGGGCCTACGAGAAATGAACTAAACCTGCTTAACTTCTTTTATGGCCAGTATACTTTGAATTTAGCTTTCACAGGCCAAGCTATGATACATGTACTCATAGACAGAGCCATAAGTATCAATTTTACATATCAGCTTTTAATAAATTATTTTACTTTCTCTTTTCCTTCCATTTTGGACATTTGGTTGCATATATGTGTATACTCCAAACTAGAATAGTTTGTTTTTTTTGAAGAATTAATTAGCATAATTATACTTATTGTTTATTGTATTATTACATAAATTCTTAAAAGTTAGCTTGTTTGATGATGTGCAGATTTAAATAATGTTGTAAAATGTAGTAAGACCATGCCAAAGTAGCAATACGATTTCATCTGTGGCCAATCTTCGTGCAAATATGGCTTTGACACATTTTGTAATTAACAGTTCAGAACTGCTGTCTCTATTTTCACCTCAAACTGTCACATAATTTGTGGTTGGTGTACTTACTGTTACCAGAGCTCTTTATTATTCAAGTTGGATGCCAGGTTTCAGTTTACCTGGCCTAGGTCTTGAATAGTTCATCAGATGTAAAAGACATCTGCTTTCCGCATTATTACGTCACATGCCACAATTTAATTGCTCGACAGAATGTTGATTGCTTATTGCTACTGTAATCTGAAGTCAGATTATACATTATGCAAAAGGAATCCTAAACTCAGTGACTTAACGGAGAATACAATAGATTGAAAAATATAGCAGCAGATGTCGATTTGCGACAACAAGCTACATTAATGAAGGTTAAATATGAAAGTAATGAAAATTCTGCAGTTTTTGCTTTAATTATCCAGTACCTCTATCTGCACAGTAGCGTGGCATGTCACACAGAGGCACGACAAGTCCTTCTAGAATGATGAGAAGGGATGAGATAGCAAGCAAGATCACAAAGCAAACACAATGCATCCACCAATCCGAGAGGTTATGTAAACACTGTCTAGCCATGGAGCAAGAGTGGAATGGTGATGTCAAAACAGAGCCTGCAAGTGAATACACATATTGCATCTATTGTAGAAAATTGTAATCTGTCAAAAAGACTGTAAACTTATTAGTCTAAAGGACTGGATAAACTGGAGAAGGAAGCCTGAAATGTCCCGTGCATTTACTTATATGAAAATTAATTCATATGCATTTGCCAGTTTTGATTTGATCCAAATGGCAGCCATCTTTACAGCATCACATTGAAGCAACTTAAAGAGTTAGTTTATCCAAAAATGTAAATGATGTTATTGATTACTCCTCTTAAAGCCACTGAGACCTTCAATCATCTTTGGAACACAGATTAAGACACTTTAGATGATATCCAGGAGCTCTCTCATCCTCCATAGACAGCAACGGTGTCCAACTCATACAAAGTTCAGAAAAACACAAAACAAATTCCTCAAAACAGACCATATGTCTTCCGTGGTTCAATCAGAAAATTATCACACTCTAATAATACTTTTGTGCACACACAAAGCAAAAATAATGACTTTATTCTATAGTTTCTTCTCATTGTCAGGAAGCACATTCATGAGAGCGATATTCTCTTTAAGAATGTTGTGCTCAGTTGCATTGCTGACGTTTACTTCAGATGCCACAAAGGAAGAGTATCCAATGCAATGTTACGGCCATACTTAACTTTTTAATTTAGTGGGTAATTCGTATGAATTCATTCAATCTAATTTGTACAATTTAGTGCGATTTCCTCATCACCCAATGACAGTTGGGTTTAGGGGCAGGGTCTGGTGCCATACCTTCTTTTTAAAATCGTGCATTTTTGTACAACTGAACTCGTGAGAATTCGTACGAAGTAGCCACTAAATTGACAAAACGTAAAATACTTACGTTTTCGCATCAGATCAGGCTGGAGTATCTGGTGGGGTATACATCAGTGTATAGTGCTCAAGAACTCGTGCCCTATTCTGACACTGAGGAGAATAAGCATTCAATGAAGTAAATATTTTAGTTTTATTTGTTTTTATTTAGTATTTTGTTTTATCCAAAATATCTTATTAGGCCTGTCACAATAATCTATATATCGACTTACCTCATAACACAATAAACACAATTAAGAGGGGACTTGAAAATCCAGTTTTTGTTGGATTGAATTGTAAGCATGTCACAGTAATCAATATATAGACTTATCGCACAACACGTGAGCATGTCTTCAATAATTTTTGGTAATGCAATATATATCGCTCATACATAAAAGCCAATTCTAGCAACAATTTTTCTGATTGTGTCAACATCTCTTTCTCTATTGGAGGTGTTAGTATGGTGAAAAAACATTATAGTATTTACTATAAATTACTATAGTATATGTAGGTGTCTGACAACTGAATAAAGAGCTGGTAGCAGATATCGCAGCCTCTGTTACTTTTAAATCTTGCCCTTTTTTGTTAACATTTATCATTATTTATTTGTTTAGGGTATGTGTTTTCACATTCTGAATCCAATGCCTATCTAATAAAATGACTATAATTAAATGAAGGCGACGCAGTGCCACAGTAGGTAGAGCTGTCACCTCACAGCTGGAAGGTTGCTGGTTCGAGCCTCAGCTGGGTCAGTCGGCATTTCTGTGTTGAGTTTGCATATTCTCCCTGCATTCGCATGGGTTTTCTCCGGGTGCTCCGGTTTCCCCTACAGTCCAAAGACATGGTACAGGTGAATTGGGTACACTAAATTGTCCTTAGTGTATGAGTGTGAA